TTGGACTAAATTCTCACTAGAAATTTGATGGTGTGGGCATTTAGCCAAAAGGCCTTGGAATCTAGTCCAATACTCATAGAGACTCTCATCCTCTCCTTGTTGGACCCCATAGATTTGCTTCCTCAAATTGGTGACCTTGGAATTTGGAAAGAATTTATCTAAGAAGAGTCTTCTTAGCTCGGCCCATGTGCTTACTTTCACATAAGAAGGGTAGTTGAAATACCACTCCTTTGCTAAACCTTCAAGAGAAAATACAAAAGCCTTAGCTTGACATCATCAACATTTACATGCATAGGCTTCATAGTATCACAAACCAATAGGAGAGTATGCAAAAACCTATGACAATCCTCTCCCGGTAACCCATGAAATTTAGGCAATGCATTAATCAAAGAGGATTTAATTTCAAATTGAACATTAGTAGGAGGAACATATAAGCCATAAGGATTATCATGCCAATTAGGTTGAGTTAATTGCCTAATGCTCCTCTCCTCTCTAGGGTTATGCAAGCCTTCAAATTCATTATTAACATGGCCATCATCATGCAAATTCTCATTCCCATTCCCATGGCCCTCATTATGCACATGCTCATGTCCTAAGATACCTTCCATTGTTGAATTACAAACCAAATGAGAATCAAGAATAGGTTGTGATCTTCTCAATCTAGAAATAGTTCTTTCAATTTCTGGATCTAATTCAACAAAAGAGGTATGTTTTCTTTGGGTCATGCACTAATCAAGCTCAAGAAAATTAAGAACAAAGAACAAGCTAAACTAAAATGCAAATCAACACGAAACAATTCAAAACACACAAAAGCAAGAGAAATAATTTTTTTTTCTTTTTTTTTAATATACTCAATAGCAACAAAATGAAAAAAAATAACACCAAACAAGTAGAAAGAGAGTTAGAAATGCTCAATCAAGAAGCTTTGGCAATTCTGGAATTCGCACAGTAGGCTCTCTGGAGACAGTAAACTTGTGAATTTTCTATCAGCAAATCCACATAATAAATTCCCCTGAAACTTTTATAAGAAACAAAGAGATATACAGGAAAATTATATAAAACTTTCAGATTAAAAATCCTTCCCAATCGTTCCCAGAATTTTTCACAAGTTGGTCCTCAGGTCTGGAGAAACAGGATTTCGTCTAGAAGACCTTCAGAGCTTCTAACAAACTTTCAAATAGGAAAATGGAAAAATTGAAGAAAATCCTAAACACAAGAAACCAAGATAAGACAGTGATAAGAAAAATGAAACTGGAATCAATCAATTTGAACGCACAAAGAGGAAGATATGCTAACTTAAAATTGAAACAAGGTTTTGGGAATCCTCTGTAATGGCTCCCTGGACCTTGTTAGATTGTAAAATTTCCACAGGACACTTCCCATGTCCAAAATTGACCAAACCAATTTTAAAGTGAAGCTAAGATATAGAGCTTTCAATAAAATAAATTTCAAATTTAAATTCCTTCAAACTCATTCCCAATTAATTTTTCAATTTCAGACAGAGACACTAGAAACAGAGTATTTTAGCTCTATACCAAACCAACGAAAATTGCACTAATTTTTTTTTCTTTTTCAAAACAGAATAAAAACACTCAAAACACACAAAAAACACTAAACAAAACACAAAACACAAATTTTTATAATTTTTAAAATTTTTTTCAGGAACACTAAAAATATAAATTAAGTACTAAACAACCTTAGAATTAAACTTAAACCATTCCCCGACAACGGCGCCAAAATTTTGATAGGAAATTAGTCGCTTATCCTCAAAATTTTACTAAAGTAACCCTAATGCAATATAGGGCCAACCCTAGGTCATCTCCTAAGGAATGGTTTTAAGTCTAATTAAAAGTTATCTAGTGAAATAAATCAACCAAAGTTTGTAGGAATTTAGTTACCTAGCTAATTACCTAATGTGCAAGTAATTAAAATGCTAGTGAAAGTGAGTGAAATGAACTTCCCTTTTCACAATAATGGAACCCTAGAGATTAGTTGATTTTGGACTCATTATCTTCTCATGATTACGCTAAGTTTAGCTTCTCTTTTCTCTTGACTAAAGCTGTCATGACTTAAGAAAATTATCCTAAGGCAATTAACCTAATTAGCTAACCTCCCTAGGTCTTAGATTAAAGTCCCTAGTTCAATTAACCAATTGGTGAAGACATTAGCCAAGTGATTCACTCAAAATCCTCTCTCAACAGCCATGGTCAAACACATAAATTGAGCAACCACAAGATTATGTCAAACTACTCAACAACACAAGCATTAACACCACAAGATTATGCAATATTAACACAAGATATTCACTAATTGAAAAACACAAGATTATGTGCCAAACAAAGAGTGGCAAAATTCAGTCATGGCTGTCCAAGGAAGAAATTAAATGAAACAATCCTCTCTCTTTACATCAACATCAAATTCAAATTAGAATTTATAAGCTAAGATGATTAAACCCTAGATTAAGGAATCTAACCATCTAGTAAAAAGAGAAGAGGATAGGAAACAAAAGAACTTAGCCAATTTGAAGCTCAAGACTCATCCTCCATCTTCATCTCTCTAGGATTCCACAAAGAAACTTAGCCAATCTTCATCTTCAAGAACCCTAGTGATTGCTTGTGAAGGCCAAACTCCATAGCTTTTGAATGATGGAAATGAGCTTCAATCCTTGTAAAAATGGAAGGGATGGAACGAAAATGAAGAGAGGAGAAGAATGGTATGAGTTTTGTGGAGGTTTGGTGGCTGAAAATGGAGGTTAGGGTGCTGAAAAATGAAGAACAAAAGAGAGAAAATGAAGAACACTATAAACAAGAGAGAGAGAATGTGGAAGATGAATGAGATATGTGTTGGATCCCATTTAGGGCTTAAAATGGCATGCTCCTTGGTGTCTCCCATCAGCTGAAGCTTAATTAAAATAAGGAAAAAGAAATTAAAATGTAAATGGGAGCCTTGTCACACTTGGAAGGTGGCAACTTCCTATTGGTTTGTAGATGATTCCAATGTGTGCCTAATTTTCCATGTGTCATACACATCATTTTAGCTGATCTAATCCCTCAAAATAATCATAATTCACGTGCAAACCATCAGCCATTGATCTCAAGGAGTGTTGACCTCAATTGCCCAATTGATGCACAAGTCACATGCCACCTATGTCACATAAATCACATAATTCAATTAAATAGCATATGATATAATAAAATCTAATTCATGTCCAGAATTAAATTCATAATTAGAAGGGAGAATTTATTAAATTAACCAAGTTTCAGGCTGCACAAAATTGTATAAAAATTTCCACACAAAGGCAAACTAAAAACTAGGACAAACTAAGACACTTAAGAAAGTGTTGACTTTTTATTTAATTACTCCCAAACTAAAATGAATTTTAAAAATATAATTTCACCATTCATCAACTGGACATAAAATGCACTTTGTCAATTTTTCTTGTACATTTTCTCAAAAGTTCATTTTTTTAGACCAAAATGCCCTTAGTGCACTGAACTTAGAAACTTAGGCAAAATTACAAATCTAATGCAATGTGTGCACTTGAAGGTGATAAATCATTAATAAAAGGGTCTTAATTGACAAATAAAAATGGGTAACAAATGTGTTCTATCAGAAGGCTCCAATTTGGTGACCAAATAATAGGAGGTGTAGTAAGCATCTTCTTCAATTCATCCTAAGCATACCTACAAGAATCATTAAAAACAAAACTCACATCTTTTTTGTAGAAAATGAGATAGTGGCAATGCTATTTTACTAAAATCTTGAATGAATCTTGTAACAGCCCTCACCCTATCCCACCGGGGGTCTTTTAGACTGGAACCTTAACCACTCACGCAGCGGGCCCGGCTTTCCCCAAGGTGGTACTTGGGTTATTCCTCAGCCCACCAAAGAGGTCTTTTGGAGCCTTCCCAGACTCGAACCCCCAACCTCTACCACCTTGTTGACTCAATGATACCAGACTTAGCCTCAACTTTATTAAGGTGGTAGAGGTTGGGGGTTCGAGTCTGGGAAGGTTTCAAAAGACCTCTTTGGTGGGGTGAAGAATAACCCAAGTACCACCTTGGGGAAAGCCGGGCCCGCTGCGCGAGTGGTTAAGGCTCCAGTCTAAAAGACCCCCAGTAGGATAGGGTGAGGGCTGTTACAAATCTCCTATAAAAGCCAACATGCCCAAGAAAAGAACGCACATCTTTCACACAAGTAGGATATGGAAGAGATGTAATAATATCAACTTTAGCTTTATCTACCTTAATGCCATCATATGAAATAACATCTCCTAACATAATTCCTTTCTTAACCGTGAAATGGCACTTCTCAAAATTCAACACAAGATTATATTGAATGCATCTTTCCAAAACCCTATCTAAATCAGCTAAGCATGCATTAAAAGAATCACCATATATAGTGAAATCATCCATAAATATCTCCTTACAATGCTCAAGAAAATTAGAAATATGGAAACCATGCAATGTTGCAAAATGCCTGGTGCATTACATAGGCTAAATGGCATACATTTCTATGCAAATGTTCTAAATGGAAATGTGAAAGAGGTCTTTTCTTAATCCTCAGGTGCAATACAAATCTAAAAATATCCTGAAAAACCATCCAAAAAGCAATAATGATATCTACTAGCAAGTCTCTCAAGCTTCTAATTAATAAAAGGAAGAGGGTTGATCTTTTCATGTCACAAAATTCAACTTTCTATAGTCTATGCAAACCCTCTAGCTATTCTAGACTCTAGTTGGAACCAACTCACCCTCATCATTATGGATAAAAGTAATACCATTCATTTTAGGTACTACCTGAATAGGACTAACTCACTGACTATCAGAAATAAGGTAGATAATATCTGCAGAAAGAAGTTTAGAAACCTCTTTCTTTACCACATCAAGAATCAATAGGTTGAGTCATCTTTATGGCTATCACATAGCTTTGGCACCATCCTCAAGCAAAATATGGTGCATGCATACATCAAGGCTAATCCTAAGGATATCAGTAAGAGTCTATCCAATAGCTTTCATCCTTTGCTTAAGCACCTCTAAGAGGTGAGTTTCCTCCTCAATGGCAATATCACTAGCCACAATCATTGGCAGCTTCTCCCTTTCTCCCAAATAAATGTATTTTAGTGAGTCAGGAAGTAGTTTTAACTCCAAGGAAGGAGCTTGCTCACTTGAAAGTACAAGCAAATTTAGATCAATGTCAGTCAAACTAGAAACTTCCATTGAAGACTCACAAATAGAAGAGGAGAATTTCCCAACTTGGGAATCATTAGTAGACATAGTGAATGTAGAAGAATAAGGAATTACATTACAATCCATAAAAATAGTGCCATTAGTAGCACTCATCTCAAAAATAGTATCAGAATTAAAATTCTCAACATCAAACGCATGATCAATGTTAATTAACAATTTAGAATCTAGTATGAGGATGAATCAACTGTATTCATAGCAACAATCACACTAAGTAACTTAGAAAATTCATTTGAATTAATAGAAGTGGTAGATAAACAATCAACAGAACTACTGTTGCTAGGAACAAGTATAGAAACATCTTCTCTTAAATGTCTAGTAACCTCAATAAAATTAGTAAAAACATCAATATTAGTAAGATCTATATCAGTACAAGCATCATAAATATTAATTTTAGAATATGAATAAGAGATAGAATCATCTAAACTAGCAATATCACATGATATACTCAGCATACTATCTTTAAAATTCACAAAAGCATCATCAGCAAGAATATCAACAATACTAACTTCTATCTCAGTACAATCATCAGGTAGGTGTCTCATATAATCAAGTATATCAAATTAAATGGCATTACTAGTAAATTCTATAGTTAAACTACTAGCATCCACATCTATCATAGCCTTAGCAGTCTTAAGAAAAGGCCTACCTAAGATCAAAAATGAATGTCCCTTTTGCCTAAATCTACTATCATCCATATCAAGAACATAGGAGTCTACAAGGAATAGGAGATATTTTACCTTAACCAAGACATCCTCTAAGACTCCTTCTGGGACTACACAACATCTATCAGTAAGGAAGGCAAACAATTTTATGGGCTTGAGATTCACACCTTGAAGTTGAGAGAAGACCAATTTGGGCATAACATTAATAGCTGCTCCTAAATTAGCTAGAGCATCTAAAAACGCAATGTCAGCAATAGTGCACTTTATGAGAAAACTACTAGAATCTATATGCTTCATTGGCATTGGCATTTGATAGAGAGAAGAGAAAACTATGCCTAAGTCAACCTTTCCTTCATTCTTGAATCTTCTTTTTATGGTGCATAACTCTTTCAAAAAATTTTCACACTTAAGCACTTGTGCAACTAGGTCAACTAATGGAACATTGATCACCACCTTCTTGAAGATGTCATAAATCTCCTTAAACATGTCAGCTTCCTTCCTCCTTCTCTCAGCCTTAGCTACCCTGTGAGGAAAGGGTAAGACTTGCTTGCTCACTTCCTTATCTTCTTTATCTTTTTCTTGCTTTTCTTGTGGTACTACTTGTGGTTTTGATAAAGTGGACTCTTCTTGTGATGTAGAGATAGGATGAATATCATCAATAGTATCTTCCTTTCCCTTAGAAGTATGGGTGGCAAAAGGATCTGCAAAGGTGACTATTTTTCCACTTTTAAGGGATATAGCATTAACTCCACCAATAATAGGATTCTGCTAAGTCTGAACATTAGGATTGACTACCATTTAAGAAGGCAACCTTATTGAACCTTGACTTTGCATATTATTAACTATCTTGGCCAATTGCCCAAATTAGGTATGAAGATTTTGTATCCCCTGCTTATGTTGCAACTCATTCTATTGCATTTGTTTATGTAGTTGTGTGTTACTCTTAGTCCTTTCAAGTTGTTCAATTTTCATATTCCCTTCCAAAACTTGCTTCAATATTGCTTCCATATTGCTTCCCTCTTTGGTTCCTCAATAAGAATAGTTTGCCTCACAAATTGATTATTAAGATCCATAGCATTAAAACCTTGATTTTGATTGCCTCCTCCGCATCTCAAATTAGGATGATCTTTACATCTTAAATTGTATGTGTTGGAGAAAGGATTATATTTTTGTTGCCCTTGTTGCATCAGTCTACAAGGAAAGACTGCATTACAAGGGTCAACTCTATCCTCTAAAAATGGGCAAACATTAGTAGTATGGGTGGCCAATGAACAAATAGAGCAAAGTGGGCTAACTAGAGCTATAGAGCTAGGTTATGGGGTAAACGAGGTAGAAGATATCAAAAAATTAACCATTTTAGAAGAATTTCACATCTATAATACAACCATGTTTTCAATGGCAGATGCTTGCTTATCTATCTTGCTCTTAAGGTGAGACTCATGAGATGAAGAATGTGAGCTAACTTTATTAATTCCAACTTACTGTCTAAAACCAAACTGCTGGGTAGCTTTCTTCTCAATCAGTTCCTAAGCAGCATTGACAGTCAAGTAGGGAAGAGCACTTGTAGTAGCAAAATCTAATATATCTTTCTCAAGAGGCAAAAGGCCTTCATGAAAATACTGTATCAGTAATATATCTGGGATCTGGTATAACATCCTAAATTTCTAATCCTACATTAATGAATGATTATGGGATGAATTAGTAATTTAATATGAGATTAGTATTCTAGGTAATAGAATGATATATTAACTTCTTAGGATGTTGTATGAGCATGTGAACAAAAGAAAGAGGTTCTGAAGTAGAGCATGTAAGCATAGTAAGGATTACCCTCACTGTGTCATGTACCACGATGGAGGATGGATGCATTATAGTGCATGGTGTAGAATCTTGATAAAGTGGGATGTGTCTACTCGTGAAAATAAAAAAGAGAAGCAAAGAAAGAGAGCATGAGGGTGGAAAAGGAGTGGACCTTTGCTAGGGAAAGTAAAATTAGGAGTAAGAGTGACATTCAGACCTGTTACTTATCAGGTAAGTCTCGTACTGCCTTAATCTTTGATTCTACCCTATTTTCTCTTAGTTTTAGCTATTAAGAAATTGAATTTAAAAGTTTTAAGGAGTTGATTTCTTACTCTATAGTAATAGAAAGGTTCGTCAGAACTAAAATAGTACTTTGTGACTGGTTTGAGTTGAAACAATAAAGTTTTAAAGCTGTAGGCACAGTTTGACCTAATCTAGAAAGAGAATGTTGAGAGAGAATTTGATTGTAAGGAAGTTAATGCATGGTATGAGTAGAGATTGGCTATAATACGCATGAGTGAATGCAAGTAAAGGAAATGAAAGGAACAGGTACTTGTTTATTGTAATTGGCACTTTTTGTCAATGGTGAAATTGACTTTCGATGCCCAATTGTGTAGATTATCATGTGTGACATGTTTAAATAGTGAAAAGGAGTAAAGTAAGGTTTTAAGTACATGAGTAACCGTTTCTTGTGAACAGAAGGGTTGAAGTAACTATATAGTTTATTTTGTTCATTAACTATTATAACTATGTAGAAGTAATGGTATAATTGTGAAATTATGGTTTTGTGAGTTTTTGTGCAATGGTTTTGTATTATGAATAATTTTAGCATGAAATTAGATTTATGAAAGTAAAGTTTGCTGATTTCTGACTTTATTTAATGTGTGTGTGTGTGTGTGTGGGGTATGAAAGTGTGGAATTGAGATAAATCATGTAAAAAGCATGATCATAAGGGGTGGTAGTTCAACCTGAATGTGTATGTGTAGAGATGTGAGTGAAAAATTTATATGATTAAGCTGGCATCATGGGACATTTGGTGCAATATTATATAGGCTGGTATCATAGGTAATTTAGTATAGCATATTATGGGACTGTTACCATGGGACATCCGGGCAATCTGGCGACTCCTTAGTACCCGTTAAGGTGCAGTTAAGGGTCAATGACTCCTCTATCACAAGTGTGTGAAAAGAGAGAAATCATAGTTCATAGGTGGGATAGATTACTTTTAGCCAAGTGTTTCTACTATCAAAAGTGAGCTCAGGTTAATATATGATTCATCTAGTAGAGCCTATGGTTTTGTGTCGAGAAGCATTAGAGGTTTGGTGGCTAGATGATCATACTGTTGTGGAAAATTGTGTGGAAATGTTTGACAAGAGGAAATTCTTACATACTTTAATTACTATCACTCTGGTTTTATTACTTTGGCATGGTTATATGTGGTAATAGATATTAAATAAACTATATTGGTTATTGAGATTTTGATCTCACCTGTAGTTATTTATATTTTTCAAGTTTTAGTAGTGGTAATGCAAAAGGGAAAGACATAGGATGAACTGACACCTCTCACTAACGCCCTTTTGTAAGAATTAGTGTAATGAATTTATACATTATTAGTTATGAACTTATGTATAAGTTGTCTTAGGAACTGAGTACATGTACATGATATTGTGAATATTATGTTTGGTGGTTTTGGTTCCCTGAACCCTATGTATATGGGTGTATGTGATGAATTGATAGTGTGGGCTAGCGGATGAATGGTATGGTGTGTGGATATGGTGAATATGTGAAGTGTATGAAGAATGTGGCCCTGTATGAGATTAAGAATGAGAAATGGAATTTTGCCTAAATGTGTGATATTGGTGTTTATAGGCTAAATGTGTGTATGTGTATTATATTCTCTATGTGATTGGTCAATCAGGTATATATTATCCATTTAGACGTGATTAAGGCCCTAAAAGTGACTAATGATATACGGTTTCAATTGGTGATGCTCGAGTGGGAAAATTTGATATAAAACAATCAAAATGCACTTAGGTGTCCAATTTGTGAATAAGATATTAGATTGAAACAAAATTAGTGTCATTAGTTAGATTACAAAATAAGTTTTGTGTGGCCGATTGAACTATCCCAATTGAATTTTAGATGCGAAAATGGCGTATATTCAAAGTTAGCATTAGAAACTGCTGTGTGACAATAGAACTAGGTGTGTGTGTGGCGGCGTATGTATCTACATGCCACGGTGCATGTCACAAAGTGCGTAGCTATGGTCTCTATGCCACATGCTGTAGTGCATGTGGCAGAAGCGACAGCACACGGCCCTTATTTTGACTTAATTCTAATGAAATGCACATGTTTTCTTGTTCTTTAATGTACTTTTACATATTGCTTCAACTATGCAGTGTTTTATAACTTAAGTAATTTGTGAAATGGATTTGGAAATGTTTTACTTGGGCCTAAACTTTCAAAATAAGTGATTTTAAATTGTTTAGCAGATTGCGTGAAGGGTTGTATGGTAATGTCATTGAGAGCATTACATTTGGTGGTGTGGACAACTAGATAACAATGTCTTAAAGCGCTCCCAGTACTCTTAGAGAGACTCCCCAGATATTTTTTGATAGCCGTAGATGTCCTTCCTAATAGAAGAAATGTGAGATGTTGGAAAATATTTTTCCAAAAACAACTTCTTAAGTTGATCCCATATGGTAATGAATCTAGGGGGCAACTGAAGCAACCAATGTTTAATAGACCGCTCTAAAGAGAATGGGAAGGCACGCATCTTAATCTGATCCTCAAAAACACAATTAAGTCTCATAGCAGTGCAAATCATGTGAAAAGTCTTTAAATGGTTGTATAGATCTTCACCTGCAAGGCCATTAAATTTGGGAAGTAAATGTATAAACTCAAACTTCAATTCAACAACAGTATTAATGTTAGGATAATTAATGCACCAATTTTGAAAATGTATATCAAGTGAAACCAACTCTTTAATGATTCAAACAAGAGAAACATTTTGTGCATCAACATTAACATTCACATTCAATTGAATATCCTCTTCCATTTTGACTTTACAATTAGATAAATTGGAAGATGGGTTAACAAATGAACTACTATCTACAAGCCTTTCAACTTGAATCTTTCTTCATTGGTGAAATGTCCTCTCAATTTGAAGATCAAATTCAAATAATTTTTTAAAAGAAGATCTGGTTATGCACTAAACAAATTCCAAGGACCAAAGAAAAGATTCAAGAAGCTTAAAGAGAAATTGAAAAGCAAATTTTGGAATTTTTCAATAAAGTGTAGGACAAAGAAAAAAAACACCAAAAAATCCAAATTAAGTCAAACAACTACCAAGGCTTTGAAAAAGGTATTAAAAGACATTAATTAACACATCCAAAGCCTCGGCACAACAAAAGGAAGACCAGAAAAAATTAGAAAAAAATAACTAGAAAAACTTGGGAAAAATCAAAGAAAATTCGCAAAAAAAGGAGAAAATTAAAAAAATAACTGAAAATGGCTTAATTTGGCAAAAATAACCCACATCTGGTACTAACGGCACCAAAATTGATCAACACACCCAACAACCTTGGAATACCAAGAATTAGAATTTTCCAGGCAAAATAGTGCAATTTCCAGAACAAGGTATTTAAGTAAAATCAATCGAAATGCAAAACGTAGAAGACTAAAACAAGATAAAAATGCATGAAAATGCAAGTAAAATGCATAAAAACACCTACGAACTCCTAAGACTAGCCATTGCACCCTGGCAATAGTGCCAAAATTGATGGAATTGCCTTAGTCATGCCGGCACTCAATTGAACTAAAATTGACTTAATATAGTATAGGCCAACTCTGGCTCATTCTTTCCAAGGAGCAATTTAGGGGTTAATCTTAAGTTAGTTCTGGG